TATTATTAGGAAACTATCTCGGCCCATTAGAAATAAAAGGGATTCAGTATTGCTAAGAGACTTTTATTATTAATAAGGGGTGAACTTATCATTATATTAGAATTTTGGTTGTTGTTGGTCTTATTTCTATGAGGCCCATGACCCAACTTAGTATTTAAACCCTAACTCCCTCTCTCTCTCTCTCTCTCTCTATATATATATATATATATATATATATATATATATATATATATATATATATATATATATATATATATATATATATATATATATATATATATATATATATATATATATATATATATATATATATATATATATATATATATATATATATATATATATATATATATATATATATATATATATTAATTATAAATGTGATATGAAAATATTATGAAAAAAATTGTTTATTCATTTTTATGTTTTATGTAACATAGATCTAGATTAGTTTAGTCTATCATAATACTTTAAATATAATTAAGATAATAGTCAAACAATTATAAAAATATGACGGTAATGATTAACTTATAGTGTAAAACTTATTTATACCATCAATATATATAATTAAATCCAAGTTTTAAATCCTCTTAGAATTTCGAATTATCTCCTTCAAACACACTATAATTTTTTCCAAATGTCAATCAATAGATCTATTGTTTCCAAATCACTATTAAATTTTATCTTATTTCAATTCATTTGTATTTAACCACCTGACCTTTTTAGAAGACTTATTTTTATATTCAAGTTTGATTTTTCTTAAAGAATTTGATATGATAAATTCGGCTACTTTAAAGCTAAAGGTGATTTCAAAATAACATAATTAAATAAATAATTTTATTTATACTTAAATATTAGAATATATTAGATTTGTTCATAAACTTTATGATTTCTATCGATATAAAAATCAAGAATAAAACTCTAAATAAACCCTTAAATCCATATCCGAATACAATTATGAGAATGAAAGCAGAAACATACTTGGATTTGCCATTGAGAATCACTGAAGTTTTGCAGGCATTTGATCTTATGATTTGTAGAGTTCCTTATGGCTCATTGATTCTCCTCTGGTGGAGATGAAGAGAGAAATACCGATAAGCTGTTTTTTGTTGTCTACAAATAGGGATCATAACCCCTATAAATAATCTTAGAGTTATTTCTTAGTTTTCAATAATCTAATTTGGCCCCTCATCAAATTAGATATTGAATTATGGTATCTACACAATTACCTTTCATGATATTTATGCTTTTAGCCACAAACTTATTATTAATTAGACCACTATAACTTTAGCTAATTACATAATGACCCTAACACATGCAATATTACTTTTGTGATGCAAAAATTCTAACAATCTCCCACTGGTCATATATGTAATCATGCACATATGTTAGACTTTATGAGCTCAAAATTCGATATTATATTCCTTAAGCATATTCAAATTATCTCGTCCATTAGTCATGCCGATATATAGAATTAAGTGATTTTCATTATATCAATCATAACTAAACCCATCAATGATCACCAATAGTGACATAAATAAATGACATAAATCCATCATGAAATTTGCAGCATGAAAATCACATGAAGTTGGTTTGTATATGTCGATTTTCAATTGGTCCTACTTTACTTTAGTAAGATTATTCAATAACTTTATTGTACAAAATGTAAACTGTTGAATATCAAAATTTAAATAATTTAAAAAATATCCAAAATCATAGTATGCATACATAATACCAAAATATAAAACATAAATTTCTTAATCGACGAACTCCCACTAAACTAAAGACTCATCTAATGGTAAAACACACATGTGAGCAATGTGCTCATGAAATACCTTAAGTGGAAGACCTTTTGTAAGAGGATCTACTATCATGGAGTTTTTCCTTAATTGTTCTATGAAAATTTGTCCACTCTGTACCATTTCTTTAACAACTAAGAACTTGATGTCAATATGCTTTGATTTGGTTGAGCTCCTATCATTATTGGAATACAGGACGTATGATTTATTGTTACAGTATAACTTAAGTGGCCTTTCTATTCCTTCCATAATTCACATTCCAGTGATAAGATTCCTCAGCCAAATCCCATGGTTGAATGCCTCATAACATTCTATAAACTATGCTGCCATTGTGGATGAAGTCGTAAGAGTTTACTTGGTACTGCACCAAGAAACTACACCACCAGCCAATATGTAGATTTAGCCTAAAGTGGATCTTTTACTGTCTTGACATCCAACAAAATCTGAGTTAGAGTATTCAGTGATCTCAAACTGATCTGACCTCTTATATGTGAGCATATAGTCTTTTGTTCTCTTTAAATACTTTCTAACCTTTTTGGATGCTTTCTAATGATCCACTCCTGGATTGCTCAAATGTCTGCCTAGCATCCATCGAGGAATTTCATCTTGAAATCCATTTGATAGAGTTCTATGTCATAATGTGAAACAAGAGCCATGATTGTTCTAAAAGAGTCTTTCAATAAAACAGGAGAGAAAGTCTCTTTAAAGGCAACCACTTCTTTTTGAGTATAATCCTTAACCACAAGACGAACTTTATACCTCTCCACATTAGTGTTAGAATCCTGCTTGGTTTTAAAAATTCATTTGCAACCAAGGGGTTTCACACCTTCTGGTAATAGGACAAGTTCCTAGACTTTACTGTCTTACATGGACTTATACTTCTCCTTCATTACTTCAATCCACTTTTCTGAGTTGGAATCTTGTATGGCTTGACGGAAGTTGATTGGATCACCTTCCATCATACCATTATTTTCCTCATGTTCCTGGAGAAAGACCATGTAATCATTCAGAATATCATTTCTCCTTTTTCTAATGGATCTCCACAAAGGTATTGGTTCTTGTAACACCTGTTCTTGAGGATTTTGAGTTTGTTCTTCATAAATTACCAAACCATCTTAAGTAGGATGAAAATCAACAATGTCTTATGGAGGTTCTATACCTGCTTGGTCAAAAGCAACTGTATGAATCGGTTCTGGAATTATTACCGATTCTTCCTCTAAAACAAAGTCTCCAACCTTATTCTTCCCCCTAAACTCAATATCCTCAAAGAATTTGGTTGTTTCTGTCTCAAAAATTGAATTTAATTTGGAATCATACAATTTGTAGCCCCAAGATCTTCAAAATAACCAATAAAGTAGCTAGTTGGTCACTGTTCGGGAGTCCAATTTCTTTTCATTTGGCTTATAAGGCATTGCCTCAGCTGGACATCCCCACACTGAAACTGTTTTAAACTAGGCTTTCGCCCAGTCAAAAGCTCACAAGGTGTTTTGACAGCTGCTTTTGTTGGTACTCTATTTAGAATGTAAGCTGCAGTCTTTAGTGTCTCTCCCCAGAGTGACTCTAGCAAGGTAAAATGACAAATCATACTTCTTATCATATCCTTGAGAGCCCGATTTCGTCTTTCAGCAACACCGTTCATGCTAGGCGATCCTAGCATGGTGTATTGTGGGACGATTCCAGATCTCTCTAGGTATTTGGAAAAAGACCCTGGACATTATTCACCTGACCCGTCATATCTGCTGTAATACTCACCGCCACAGTCAGATTTGACTTTCTTAATTCTTTTGTTGAGTTGATTCTCAACTTCGTCCTTAAATGATTTGAACACAACCAATGATTGAGGTTTTTCATGGATGCGAAATATGTATGCATGTCTAGAATAACTGTCTATGAATGATATAAAATATTATTGACCATTCCAAGAAGATGTAGGAAATGGTCAAAAAATATCCGTCTGTATCAATTCTAAGACACTTGTAGCTCTATGTGCACCATATTTCTTTGTTTTGGTATGTTTACCTTAACGCATTCAACAAAAACATCAAATTTTATGAAGTCAATAGAATCCAAAATTCCATCTGACACTAGTCGCTCAACTCTATTTTTAGAGATGTGACCTTGGCGTTTGTGCCATAATACTCATGAATTGTTATAATCAATTTTATGCTTAGTACCACGTGATTCCACATTCAAGGAATCACCATTGACAGTTATTGTGTCAAGCAAATATAGATTATCATGACCTATAAGCGAACCAGTTCCAACAATATGTGAATAGAAAGACAACTTGAACATATTATTTCCAAATGAATAAGAATAACCTGATTTGTCCAAATAAGAAATCAAGATTAAATTTCGTCTAAATGACGGAACCACAAAAGTGTACTTCAAATCCAAATAAAACCGGTACACAGTAATAATCTAAAATTTCCTATAGCTTCCAGCCCCACCGACTTGCCATTTTCCACATAGACGTGTCTTTCAACATCATTTGACTTTCGATGGTTTAGGCAATCCTTCATTGAAATACTGATGTTAGTAGTTGCACCAGAGTCTAACCACCAAGTGTTTTGAGGTACTGAAGCCAAATTGAACTTAGAGTAGACCAAACCACGATTCATAGGATTTGACCCAGTAAAGACCAAAATTGTATTCAGATTAACAGATATTGAAGCAATTGTAGCTGTAAAGCAAGAACAAAATTAAATAATTTAAATATACTCACATAAAAGAAAACTTAATTATCAATTTGTTCAAATAATGATGTAACCCATCTCATGTGATATATAAAGAAAAGGAAATTAATAATAATGAAATACTCAATGCTAAAATACTACTTATAATTATTTAGGGTGTGTTTGGATTGGAGATGTAAAAAATTGATTTTAATAGAATTGAATTTAGTAAAATTGATTTTATTAAAATTAAGTTTAGCAAAATTGATTTATATTTAGATACATTTATATAAAAGTGTGTTAAACAATCTATCTCAGTGTAAGAATCATCCATGATCAATTTGGGAAACAAAAATTATAAATTTTAACTTCAAATGAAATTAATTTTAAATACAAAATCAATTCCACTTTTGCCTAATCAAACATCTCAAAAAAAAACCACCGCTCAATATATGAAACCGGGGAACCTTTCTAACATGGTCACTATCTATCATCTCTTTTAACTTTCTAAAAACGAAAAACAAATATGCGGATTATATCCATACACGATACTGAGTATTCTTTCCCCTTCTCGAGCCCTATCATAATATCACAATTATCGTCAACAATAACGGAACTAAAGTTACGTCATCGTCGCCGTCATTTTCACCGTGACCGCCTTTGCCACCGTAGTCGAAGGTTGGATCAATCCCACACTCTTCCTCGGCAGCAACCACCTCCGCCCGCGTCTACTCATCGCCGCGATTACGTTCCGCTAAACCTCCGTAACCGTCCCCGGATTCAAAGTTGAGCGTAGAAAAGATATCGGAATGGGTAATTGGAGTGAACAAAATCTCAGCGGTGATCGAATTGATTATTCTTGCGTTAAAGCTTGCAGGAATCTCAGAAGTGCTTATGTAAGTAGTTAAGTTCAAATTAATCAATTCAAATTGTTCTTTGTTGTACAATAATAGTTTTTTCATGATTCCTATTGTTTCCAGTTTTCTATAAGATCATAAATGAGAATTTGGATTGTCTTCATTTATCATTTCCAAGAGTTTATAGGTCATGCAATCAGAAACTCTGGCACAGATACCGGACACGATATTAACACTGAAGCTGGTAATAATTTTAAAAATGAACAAACTAAATGTAATCCAAATGTCCCGATAGTATTGGTGTCTGACACTGACTCGGACATGGACACCTGTTTTGTTTTTCAAAGGTGTGAGTGCTACGTAGCATTTGATCAATTTTCGATGACGATTTGTTCTGTATGCTAATGTAGGTCCTTCCTTATCTTAGTTTTTAATGATATACTCAATTGAATATAGAGATAAAATCCACTTTAAAGAAAAACATAAAATTGGAGTCGTTCAATCGTGATCGATCGGTTATGGGCTGCTAAATGCGTAGGTGTGTGGAAATTGTGATTACATACTATCTAAGTTCTCATAGATGATGAACGAGATCACCAATAAACAAATTAAGATTTTATTTCATTACTTTAGGACTGAAAATTCCCTTTTTGGTTTGATATATATGGGGCCATGATTGAAAACTAAGGGGAGAAGGGCCCATATATGCAAAGGTTGGTAAGGAAGATCCTTATCTTACTTTTTGATGATTTACTCAATTGGATTTAGAGATTTAAATAAAAGGAAACTGAAATTTTTTAAATCTATATTGATTGATGAATTTGGAAGACTAGCTTTGGAACACATTAAACTTATATGAAATCTCATTACTTTCACTCAATCATTCATTCATTCATTATCTTATGTTAAAGTAAAACTAGTTTCCATGGTAGAGTAAAAGGTTAACATGTTGTTTAAAGTAACTGATCTTAGGCCCGAATGCTTGATATATTTGGATTTTAATCATTCCATTTGCATCCTATAAGGTTGTTCTTTGATGATATAGAAAATCAAGAGTATAAATTAATGTTTTTTAATGTTGTAGGAAAAAACCTTTAACTTCAAATGCTTTCAAATTAATCTCTGCATCAAGAAGCTGTCAATGTAGAGCTGAGAATTTTTACAAGAAATCTAAAGAAGCATGTGAATATAATAGATGTGGAATCAATCAAACATTACTGGAGGGGAAAATAGAGGTATGTGATCTTTAGTTCTGATGAATGAACCTGATGAAGTTGAATGCATCATTACATTGATCCTGGCTAAAATGTTGATGTTCACACTTAAAAACATAGGTTGATATTAAATACAAATGATATGTTTTTAACAAAACTACAATTATTGTATAATATTAGAGAATGGCAGCTTATGTAGCACCGACACTTCTGAAAAAAGACGTGTACGTGTCCGTGTTATTATCGGACACCATCACCGACACTTGTGATTACATTTAAATCATTAATTTTTATAAATTATTACCAGTGTCACCGTGTCAGTGTTAGGGTCGTATTTGGGGGCGTCTGTGCTCATTGTCAGCTAAAGGGTTTTTTTGACAAAATGGATCATTCACATCATATTGGAATTCAAGATACTGTGAAAAAAATCCTTAAAATATTCCAAGTTGTAAGATTCAACTTATGAAGGTAGCCATATAATTATACGATATGCATATATTCATGCCATTTCAGTGTAGCAAGAACCACTATTTTTAAATAGGTTCTCTTGCTGAAGATGAGTTCACTTCCATTATCATGAACTCATTATTTCTCATAATGAATACACATACACTGCAATAAGATAAGATCTAGAAATTAAATGTCACTTAAGTACGATTTTGTTTTAGCATAACCTCCTTAATCACTTTTTCCAAGTTCATGTATGAACAACCTCCAGGTCTTGTATCCTCCTCCACCTTCTTCTTCAATTCAGTTGTCTTTTGCCTCATCTTCTTTCCTTTCTCTCCCACCATCAATTCAATGACCAACTTCTCCACCTCCTCTCTCTTCACATTAGTATCGATTTCAATTCCAATCTCCCATGTATTGCAGATATAGCTACAGTTTGCTGGCTGATCGGTAAAAAATGGCCAACACAACATTGGAACTCCAGCACAAATGCTTTCGGTCGTTGAGTTCCATCCACAATGAGTTAGGAATCCACCGATCGAAGGGTGGCTTAACACTTGCTCCTGCTGACACCAGCCTGCAATTAGGCCTCTGTCCGAAATTTCATTCACATTCTCAGATGACAAAACCACTGAGCCACCGATGACAAGGTCAGGCCTAATGATCCGCAAGAACGATTGCTTGCTATTGGCTAAACCCCAAGCAAACTCTAACAATTTTTCTGGAGTCATAACTGTCATGCTCCCAAAATTCACATAAACAACAGATCCCGATTCCTTGGATTCAAGCCAATCAAGACACTTATTATCTTCTTTCCAAAGATTAGTACTTAAAGATGCCAAGTGATTTTGTGGACTTTGATATAAAAATGAAGATAAAGGACCAATGGCATAAACGCAAGGGAACATAGTCGAGAGAACATTCAATACATCACTTTCAAGTTCATTGGAAGTATTAAAAATTATTGCAGAGGCTCGGTGAGCCCTTTCTGACGCTTCATTGATAAATTCTACCATGGAATCATTTGGATCTGTAACCCTTATAAAGTCTGGCAGATCTTTCAATCGAAAGTCCTGCAGACCTGGAATACAATCTACTCTAGCGTCCAAATATCCGTTTGTCAAATAACTCTCATCTGCATATCAAATTTATAAAAGGTGTTAGCTTGAAATTTAATAATCTATGAACACTTTAACTACACCACACCTATGAAGAAAGAGAGTATATTAATTAATTTGTTACCTTTTAGTGGTATGACACCTTTATCAAATAATGTTGGTAAATGTAAACCAGACAAGAATGTACAAGCATTGGCTGGACTAAAGAAAACAATAGGGAGTGAAAATTCTTCAGCAGCTTGTATAGTAAAAGACATGCCATTATCAGAAACTATGCAACTAACTGGAGGGACAAGACCAGAAGTTGCAGATTCATTAAGTCTAGCAAGAAGTTCGCGGAACGGTTTGATGAAGTTCTTTCTAATCGATTTACAAAGTGCGAATATGTCTTGGCTAACATCACCATGAGCATCACCATCTGTTGGAGTTAAACCATCCGGAATAGTCTCAAAGCTAAAACCGGTGAAACCATCAAAGGCGTTCGGACCCCTTGATTTGAGCAAGCGTTTGTGATTGTATTCAGTGTTGACAAAGGTTATGTGAAAGCCTCTAAGATGAAGAAGCTTTGCTAGTTTGATCAATGGATTGATGTAGCCTTGAGCTGGATATGGAATCAACACAGCATGTGGTTTTTTATCATCCATTTCTGAGTTCTTTTGTTTGAATGTGGAGCAAAGGGATTAGCCAGTGGTTTAATAGGGATACTGTCCAACCTTTCTTGGATTTGTGGAATAGAAAATAGAGAAACAAGACAAGGGAAAAAATAAAAAATTCAAAGAGGTGTTTTTCTTTTAAAATTAAGTAATTCTATGTAACAATAATTAATGCATACTAAGTCAAGCCACCATGTTTTTTTACTATTGTTTTTAAAAAAGCTAATAAAATTTCAAAATAAAAAATAGATTTTATTAAAATTTAGAAAATAGTAGAATTTTTTTAGTATTGACAAAAAATTAATTTAACCTATTATATTTTTGATTTGTTTAGGTAATATAATATTTTTAGAATTTTTAGATATTAATTATCTAGTTCAATCCAGTTCAATCCAATTTAATATGTATATAATTTTATAATCGTGACTTTACGTGACCAAGTAATTTGATTTTATCATATGTCATACAATTCAACCAATAATTCTCTACCCTTTCTAATATTTCTCCATTTTAGCTTCTTCTTAACACTTCTTAATTGTCTCTTCTTAAGAGTCTAAATTGCTCCTTTTAGACAAGGAAGACTATTTAAAAATTATTGATTTACAGGACATTTTCTTAACTTTTTAAAAATTACAAAATAAGAAAGCTAAATAAATAATTGAAGCATAACTGATTTTTACTCTCATGTGTGATGAAAAATGAAAGAATACTAATACACAATTATTATAATAAACATTTGTTATTATTTAAAATCTAACAAAAATATTGAACCATATCCAATAATTACTTGCATTGGACTGCAACCACTCACTAGAAGATTTTAGGCAGATTTTATCAAAGATTATCATCGTATGATTGTGGACCACTTCCATAAGTTTCAGTTTTAGTATCAAAACAAAGATGCTAGTTGTAAAGAAGAAAACATGACATCAGACAAAAAGGACTCGAGATTATGTCCAAAACTACATTGAGAAAAATCTAAGTTTGCCTTTATTGTGAACCTCACTGATGAATGTGTTATCCCTATCATCATTTTGTTGAAAAAAAAACAAAATATAAAAAACAAGAGAAATCAAATAATAACATAAGAGATTAACGTAAAAATTTTAAAATTGAAAAAAAAACTATGATCTTTGTTAAATGATAACTAGAGAGAAAAAACAATACTATGTAAAAATTATTACAACACATAAACTACTCTTAACCACCCTAAGGTCTCAATACACACGAGCTCTCCATTAAATTGGCGTCTGTTATCTTTGTTCTATAAGTCCATGCTAGTTGACGTTTGTCTACTTTGTAATTTCACGTTAGATGACATTTGCCTGCTTTGTAATTCCATGTTAGTTGGCGTCTGTTGTCTAAAGTCCATATTCGTTGTCTAAAGTCCATATTCGACTGGCACCTTTTCCAAATCTTATCCCCCAGTTGAGTTCTGTTGTGTCGACTCAAGTTCACTTGGTTAAACATTCCCTTAGAAAAATCTTGTTAGGATATC